AGGCTGGTATATAAAAGAGGGTGACAACGTGACAGAATAATGTGTGTAATTGATCTGCAGTCAGAGAGTATTATTGAGCACGTTCGTTGTTATAACGTTTGTTTTAGCGCGATTGTTGAAATTAAGTGTATCGTAAAGTTATATTCGGAAAGAATAATCCAGTTTTATTAAGTAAGGACTTGTGTCGCTAAAGTTTCGTCGGAACGAAGTTACGGAAAGTTAATTAACGAACGGAGACGTAACAATACTGTTTAGAAGATAAAAATTTCTGATTAGGTGGGTTTCAAAGTGTTATTCTGATGAGATAATATTTAGAGTTTTGATAATCAATTATAAATATCAATAATATCAAAAACTCTGACCTGTATATTTTTAGATATTTAAATGACCATAAAAATATGTAGTAAGCCGGGTACCAAGTATAATTAGAGATTATTCCAAACCTCAAACATTACTTGTACCAGAAAACTTATGGTTTTTAAATATAGCAGTTTGGAGTTGAGTCTCACTTATTGTGTGAATGTGGGCTTGCGCGGGAGCGCAGTTTCATTCAATATGATGAAATCACAGAAGAGTGTGAAACGTTTAGTTAATAACGACGAAATACGGAAAATGATAACATATTCAGTGCAGAGTACTGTGGCAAGTGCCAATCCACTCTCTTTGAAACGGTTCAGATGTTAAAGAGGACAGACAAGAGTGTTGATCTTTTTGACAGATTGGTATTGAAAAGGATTCAATCTGACTGCCAGATTCCATGCTTCCTGATGCATCTTCCAGTAGTTAGTGCAGTAACATACCATCTTATACTTGTTACATTGACGAATATTCTTTTCATTTTTTCAGCAAGGGTTGAAATCTATATACTATTGTCGACATCATCCAAATTTAAAGCTATTGTAAAAAATAGTTTCATCTGCTCCAATGCTTTTTTGTATAACTGCTACAAATTCAACAGCATTGATTGAGGTTTTTCTTCCACTGCAATAACCATATAATGACGAAAGAAGTAGTGGTTCAATATGATATGCAAGCTTTCTAGCCACGGTCTTTCCTGGGATTGTGCCAATGATGTTTTCTTGTACAAATAATCAATGACTTTGAAGATTATAATAGACCTTTATAAGTTTCAATAAGGATGTGATAAAGACATATTTCCATGTTTCAGTGATGCTACCAGTTGACCAGCTATGATGATACTCTAACACTAAATTCAACAAGATGGCTTCTATAAGCTTCTTAAAAGTATAGGTTTTTACATTTCTGGATCTAAAATTTCACCTTTAGGTGCAATTATGGCTTTGTGCATCTCGTTCAAGTTAAAAATGGTTTCCACATCCACATAGAGTTGTAGTTCAAATAAGGATTGCTGTAGCTTCAGCCTCTCCTGTATTTCACCATGGTTATATTGGTTAAAGTATCTGTTGCATGAAGACCTTACCTTGCTCTTCATTTGTATGGAGTGGGGTATTTTCATAATAAAAGATGACTGCATTTACATGTTTCTTGATTCGGTGCCAGCCATAAGCTTGTGAAACCACTAGAATAAAATGCTTCCAAGGCTGACCAGCTGCATAGTTCATTACATTTTATGTTTTGTGCTTTGGAAGCTCATTGCTTCCTATAGGGCTAAACCTTAATTCTTTCCATCCTTACCTTCTCAGAGTCAGTATGTGGTAAGAAGTTAAAGCCAGTGAGAGTGAATATTTCAGGTTCTGAAGGCTTAGTCTCTTGAAAAGCACGATATCATGAACTTAAAAGAACTTCTCAAGGCATTATTTGATCCTCCTGACGTTGCCATAATCTACAAGAATGATCATAAAGAAAAAACCGCATATTCAAAACTGTCATATATTATGAATTACTTGCACTAAGAAAATTAAATTTCACCAGAGACACACTGGGAATCACTAGTTTTATTTAAGTGAGTTTTGTTAAAATACAATACTTAGATCTTTATCTAGTCTTGTTTTATATCAACATATCATATGTTTCTACCTTAATGTATTGATATTTATATTGAATTTATCAGTTATTTGTGGTTATTAGGTTTCATATAACATGTTCTCAATAAATTCATTAAGTTAATCTCATTCTAGTGCCTTTGTTCGTTTGCCATTCTTTAAGAAATAATATGTGATCTACCCATGAGTGACATTTGCTGTAATATTGAACATCGTGCAAGAATGTCAAAAGTAGTGCCACTCATTGGTAGAACAGGTTATGTTTCTAAGCTATGGCCTCACCTAGATTTGAATGAGAATGAGTAGTGCCATTCACTGTGGATAAATGTGATTTTTTTGCAAAGTGAGGAATGCTGGATTTGGAGTCTGATAAACGAGCTTGAAGTTAACCAATCTGAAGGAAGATCCAGTAAAAGTGAGATTCCAGAATATAAAGCAAGTGCTTGTGTTTAGTGCTTTAATATAAAGTGTCAGTTCATATTTTACTTTGTGTCCAGTCTTTAAATTTTATCATCAGGACTCAGTTATTCAGAGATCCAATATTATTATGTAATAAATACCAGGAACAAATCTTTTGCTATTCTGTGGACCCATCCAAAAAACAAGAATATAACTAGAATGAACAATAAAACAATACAATATTTATTTTTAAAGCTTCATATTTTGATACTCTTCATCAGCAGTTGAAAGATGATATAGCTCATGAAGTGTAGTTTGTCATAGAATGATTGTGTTTTCTAACGTACTTAGCTTAATTAATAAGTTTTATAATACAGTCAGTAGTGAAGATACTTTGGAACATACCAGAGTCTGGTTCCTGGAATAAAGTTTTTTGATTTTATTAGGAGGACTGCTCCAGAAACTATGAAAAACAAAAAGTAGGCTTGATTTAATAAAACGCTGCAAAGCAGAAATCGCCAAGTAAAATAATAAAGAAAACCCATTCATTACATAATACCTAATCTTGATATTTATTTCCATGAGTCTTCAGTGCCAGTACAGTCAACATATTTTTGAGTTAATTGCATGTGTTGTCACTTGATTTTGCAGCTATTTTACATAATGAAGTTATGCTCGAAGATGATTATGAGAAAAATGGTTTTAATAGACGAAATTTTCAAAATTTGTTTTTTGTACAGTTTCCATATAACGCATTTGTCAAGACAGTCATTAAGCTCTATTTGCTTTACCTATCTATTGTTCTGTGTCATTCAACTAGAGTATCATTTTTTGCCTTCCCGTGGGAAGGATAACTACAAGGTATATGAAGTTCGGCAATTATATTTCCTATTAGCAGTCAGGTGACCTCTTGAGATAATATATCAATCTCATGTTTCATTGTGAATGGCCTGATACGTGTTTAGCGCTAATCACTTTGGATAAGTCTTATGTTAACAAGTAAGTGAAGTAAGATTTATTCAATATGGAATACAATCTTGACAGATACAATCTGGGGCAGGAGATCAACAGCAGTAGTCTTGTTTACTATTTGATTTGAGTTAAAACATCTTCAAATCTAAATCTCCAGACAGGCGACTAGGCATTGTGGCAAGTAAAGTACATATTTTCACTGTGTTTGTTTAATATAAAGATTATATTTTCTGATTTTACATTTGGGTTCAGTCTCCCCCCCCCTCCCCTCTCTCTCTCTCTTTATTTCTCGCAAACTCAGTCAATGAATACAGTGTATGAATATCTTATTAATCAATGGTCCTATCTTGTCACTCTTTTGGGAAATTAGTGCTATAAGAAAGCACCACAGAGTAGACGGGAAGGAGAAAATTTTGGTGTGATAACCATAGGATACCTTATTGTTGAATTTCCTATATTTCACCCGGTTTGTTTACCGCCCTTCACATATACTCTTAAGTATTTAAGTCTAAAAAGGATTCACTTTAAGGAAATGGCATTTTCTGCCGCTCGAAGAACTTATGAGTGAGGCAATGAATTAGTCACTGAAAGAAGATAGTTATCTGAAAGTGTTGATGGGTCTAGGAAAAGTCCTCTCCAGGACCTAAGAATTTTTCCAATTCTGCAATAGTCCATGACTTCTTTTACATTGTAGCTGATGGCTCAGGAAGGAGAGCTGCCAAGTCTCGTGCACCCAGATTAGTCAGTCAAGTTTTCCATCTGAAGACTGACCTTAATTCAAGAGAAGTATGAACGATTGACAATGGTCATACGATATGGTGCCTTACTAGTCTGATATCAAGTCTCAAAATGAATGGACAGCTGCTAACAAATCTAATAACTTGTTAGTTTAATATACGGATGTATTGGGGGACCATGTGGCTGGTCGGGGTCAGACAATAATGACTCAATATCACATAGCTACAGGTGATGCATGTCTGATTAAACAATCACCACATAGGCTTCGCTGGATCACTCGGGATGTAGTGCTGAGATACAGTGGTTGTTAAAGGACAGGAGCATAAAACTTTCATAGAATGCTTAAATATTTTCAGTAGTGATCGTGAGAAAGAAAGAAGGCATGCCCAATTTCTGTGTTGATTTTAGATGAATGAATACCACAGCTTACATCAATGCTTTTCTTTTCCCACGAGCAGATGAACATCTGAATGCATTGCAGAGTTCTTGTTGGTTCAGCACTTTACATTTGGTGTCCAGGTACTGGCAAGTTGGACTGGGTGGCGAGAGTTTACTTAGCTTTTACCACGAAAAATAGCATCTATAAATTTTGCATCAAGTCATTCAGCTTGAGAAACACGTCTGATACTTTTGAGAGGCTAGTGGAACTTAACTGAAAGGGTTACATTGGGAGAAAGTCCTGGTCTATGTTGATGACGTCTTGATGTTTGGTCGCATATTCAAATCTACAGCTGAGAACCTGCAAATGGTATTCCATCAAATAAAATGGCAGGTTTGAAATTCAGACCTGTAAAATGTGCACTTGTGGGCATGATAGTGAATTTGTTTTGCCCATATAGTGAGTATTAATTAATCTTCACATATCCTGCTAAAAACGTAGCAGTGAGAAGTTGACCTCAACCTATGTCAGAGCAAAAAGTCTGGAGTTCTTATTGCTTTGCTTCATACTACCTAAAAATACACTCAAAATAAACACAACTCCTTCGTTGTATACACAATTAAACGTACTGAAGATCTAGTGCCTTTTATCAGGTATGCCCAATAGAGTTTCAATTAGTTGGCTGGATCAAGCAAGTGATTTCCTCAAAACGTTGTATGACATTTTGCCATAAAAATCATTCAGTAGCTCTGAACGCAAGGGTTGCAATGCCTTTTTAATCATTGATGTTTCACCTACTTGGCCATCCTAGCTTATGATGATCAAACAACTATCACTCAGTATTTGGTGTTTATCTCTTAACGAAACTTTGCTCAATAGCTCAGACAGCAAAGGTCATAATGCCCCTTTCAGCTTGGTTTTCGTGCCTCTAGGTAATATATTTAGGTGTGCAAGCTATTGATGTAATACTGTACTGAGTATTACATCTATTCACTCCAGCCATCCTAACTTCTTATAATAGAGTGGTAGTCATAAAAAGCAGTCATTACATTTTTTTCGAACAATACAACCCAATTGCTCAAAAAGCAAGGAAGAACCTTAACATAACAGCAAATGTACAACGATGATGTACCTGATGATGACAGAACCTTGTCGAAACTTTATACATTTGCTGTTATGTAAAACTTACATTGAACTTTTTCTTGTGCCCGGTTTGGCCAGGTAGTTAAGGCGCTCGACTCACAATCTGAGGGTCGCGGGTTCGAATCCGCATCCCACCAAACATGCTCGCCCTTTCAGCCGTGTCAATCCCACTATTCGTTGGTAAAAGAATAGCCCAAGAGTTGGCGGTGGGTG